TGAGTTGATCGCCACCCTGGACACGGGTACATTTTGGTGCTGGGATGGAAGAGTGAGCAGCCCAATCTTTTGGTTATGGCCCTGAGTCTATGCTAATCATGCCTCTATAGAGCCATCCATGGTGAATAACGAGATTTTGTCATAAATGGACTACAGGATGAGGCCTACTGGAATTGCATTCAGGACGCGGGACACGAGTTGTCAACGTTACTTTATAGGTTGGATGGAGAAGAATTCGATATTAGTACTTGCCTTGAAAGCAAAATGCTCCAGTGTCAATTACTCTTCTGTCACTCCTATTTCTCACTTCGACCTTCGTGTCAGCACCTTTGAACACAGTCTTCTTCACGTTAATCACAATTCGGACGTTTAGAAACTACATTGCCTTGTACGGAGATGCAGGAACTGGTATACAAATGCGCATATATCTGTTTCACTCCCCAATCGCTGTCCGAGAAAACACTTTTAGGTCTAATACAATCAGACTAAACGAGTGGTGATCTGTCTTGACGTCAAATAGGCAGTGTGAAAGACTTTGGCTAGGAGACATGTTAAACTACGTCACAAATCACAGCTTTGATAACTCTTTTGGGTGCGTAGTTCATCGCCTTCACTGTTTTCAAACTTACCATCGTAGGTTATTGACCGCACGCCGATTACCTGATGGAGTGGTTTGCAAAATGCCAGCATAGGCCGACCGATTCCGGACAGCACTGCCGGTGCTTGTCAGGACACCTCCAATGCCGCTGAGACTGAATGCCGACTAAATACAGCATCGTGTAGCGCCTAGTCGTCTTTTCACCTACTTGCAGCCACCTTTAACGAATTAACGAGATTGGTAGGTCGATGGAAAACGCTACATATGTATTCGCGTGGCGCCGTCCACGGAGAACTCCGTACTTTGCCCTTCCTTCACGCTACCAAGGAGATTACGCATGTAGTTTTACTTTATAGCAAGCCAAATCCCAGTATAACCCACCTATATATAGCTATATTTGCAATCTACAGAGTAATGCATCATGGCACCATGACACCACCTGGTGTCATGCCTATAATACCTCCGACTCTAGAAGCAGCTTTCAGGACCCGGGGCTCTGCTGCTCCGAAGAGGGTATAACCGCACGACTAACATACAAAGGAGTGCATGCCCGAGGATACTCTGCTAGAATATTCAACCCATCTCTTGTTTAAGCTCTACACTTGGCCTTGCTATTGACCGGATCGCCTGATCTTATTTCTATATTCGCCATGAATTTTGCCATGGGGCTTCACTTCCTCGCGGGTGTTGTTCCCCCGGCACCTCAGCAGCAACGTGTCGCGGGCGACATCAGGCCATTTAAGAAGGTCCCAACCGACTTTACCGGCTGCTTTGAACCTGGTGTCATGCCTCTGCTCCCTCCCGCCTCCGGTCCCATCGGAGGAATACACTGGCACAATGACATGCTGTTTTTGCCGCCTTTACAAGATGCCACGAAATGGAGAGAACTACACTAGTGTTGACGAATGCCTCAGGAGCCGACACATTAACCTGGATGACCTTGACGGCCAGCCTATCCTGAATGAGCATGATTATAGAGACGGGGTCTCGGCTCTTGACCGTGCGTCAACTACCTCGATTACAGCGAGTACGCCGTACTTTCTGCTACTGTTCCTGAAAAGAGAAGAGAAGACACCCTGTTAAGAGCCAATAAAGTCATAGACGCTGCGCTAGAGAAGCTGAAGGCGGCATTATCGCCAGAACTCTTGGAGAATATTAACGCAAATACCAGGGATACAAAGGAGAAGCTAGGCGTACCTGGGGTTAATGTAGAGGCAATTGTCGATAAGTTTAGGAAGCTCAGGGATTGGGTTCGCGACACGACAACCGAGAAGTATATAATTTCACTCGAGTGCAGTTGGTATACGATACCTTACAATGAAGGGTGCTATTTGTTATCTATCAAGATACTAAGGGTGGTTGTCTGATTATTTTACTACACGGTCAGGACCTAACAATAAACTCTAGCAAAGGGGTGGTATCGCCGATAAAGGACCTTGAATTTACACGGACTAAACATATAACCCGTCGAACACCTTGGGCATAATTGTTCTTTTTTTGAATAGATCATAGAAACTTGTTCTCACTTTTCTCTTGGAAACTAAGAACCTTATATATCTTATAAAAGGGTTAAAAAAGTTGATTAATAGTACAAGTAAATCAAGTCAATTTTATCAAGTTAAAAATATTCAACTACTTACCTCCTATCCAGGGGTATACCGTGTAAGTATATAGCCTTTTTACTATTATATCACGCGATATTTTATAAAAATAAAAGTACTAGTGTAAAAAAAAAATTTTTTTTATAGTATTTCATAAGCTTACGCTAGTATCCTTGCTACAAGGGGTACAAGAAGCTTGTTGGATGGCTATATAGGGGGTACTAACATTGACATCAATATATGTGGCGTGGCCACGCCCAGTTTTTGGTGTGATATAGCCGCAGGTCCCTCACTAGAACGACACTTCGCGAGGCTCGTTCTGTGTGGCTCCGTCGGTGGCTTCTTTGCATCCTTGTGCCTCTTGGCTTGCCGGCAATCCCAGCAGCTTTTTCACCTCTGACAACTGTTCTACCAGTCGAAGTTCAACCCCGTCACCAGCAAATCTATCAAGGGCGCACTGGATCCCCCCAGGCAACCCTGACGATTCATCTATATCTTCAAGAAGGCACTTCCTTGGTTCTTCTCCGTTCTTACGCGGGCGCGTCGACCGGTCGCCCTTGGTCAATGCGGCTTCTGCACAGGTGTATTTGTAAGGTTCAGGGCTTTCCAAGCCCGCGGTGTTTAGTTGGACAACAAGTTCCTTCACGGCGCACACACGCCCATCGTTCAGAAAGTAAGCACCTTCAAAGGCACAGTTGTCGGAACAAAAAGCTTGCTTGTCTGAGATCTTGATAGCCTCAATTTTAAAGCCGAGCATCGCCTTGACCCCCGCGGCACATAGCAATAACGACAGGGCGAGCATGGTAGTAGCGTGATGGCTTGAAAGAATAAGAAATTGGAGGGTAATAGAGTAAAGTGGCAACTGTGTGTAATGTCTGGTAGGTTGAAATGGTGTCTAGTAGGTTTGTTTGTTCGGTTTCCCTTGGTAGTTGACGCTTTTTTTTGGGTGCTACCTGCCGACTTATATATGTAAAGCCAGAGAAAAAGGAAGGGCAAATGTGGCCTAATAAAAAGGCTAAGCCTGATGCTATGTCATGTCATGTTGAACAGTCGTTGCCAAGTTCCATCTTATCTCATAGCTACGCCTCGCCTGACTCGTAACTCGGCAGGATGCATGAAGCCTTGGTAAAGAGATGAGGCGTGGACCGGGCAGATTGGTGGCACGACTAGCTATTGCGAAGACATTGGTCAACGTTGAATACAGATTATAGACTATAGCGCCAGTCGTGCAGTAGAGTCCAGGTTTGGCGTCCTTTAATAACCTGGAAATACATTCATGATTCGGCTATTTCATGCTACTAGCAGCCTCAATACAGTACGAAAGATGTGTATACTGTGTCTTTATAATATATATTCTCGACCAAAAGGGTACTCTTATGGTCGTAAAACCGGGATTCTGCTATGTGGTTAATGCCAACTTTCTTGTGTATATAACCCTATAAACATGAATCGTAAACGGAGCTAGCATTAAGTTATTTATTAAAACGACGCATTATTCATCATGCAATGTCTTACGTGTCAGCCAATACATTATAACTTGAATGGGGCGGGCCAGCAATAAGTGCAGTTTCAAATATAGTGTAGCATAAAATAATACTGCATAAGCATGATAGAGTACACGTAGCAATGCAGCCAAGTCTGGCGCGTGGGTCTTACAAGCTGAGTGAGTCAATTGCTCCTGTTATTATGCTCTTATTACATGTATCTTGGCTTCATGCTATTGACTCGGGCTGCGTGGGCGACCGGCGCCACCTTGACCCAAAAAAACAACTAATAGGGGAGGTTCAGAAACCTTAAGATATTGGGGGAAATATGCACTCACCAAGTAGTTGCAGTTGCCGTGGACCGTTTTTACTTGCTGATATTTAAACTTGACTCGTAATAAAAATTGGCTTTTAGCGCACGCTGCTGGCCCAAGGCACGTCTAACAAAAGTCGAAGCCTCTTTTTAGTTCTCCAGCTATACTCTCTAGAATCTGAGGAAGCCTCTTATCGCCGCAGTAGTTGATAAAAGTAGGGTCAAGACTCTTTTGCAGCTGTTACTGCTGTGAAGAATCACGATGAAAAGCAGACATCGTGACAGCTTGAGATTTTATGGCCGATTCGACAGCCGATGCTACCAAAGTCCCTGCCACATTTTCTACGGCAACAAAATTCCACTCACCTATAATATGCTGATATCTTGGACGCGGCAATTCCCTCAGCAGGGGCGAGTACTTGGTCAGCATACTTATGACGTCAAGCTCGGAGGCATTGTGGCTCTCGGCATGTACCCTGGCGAGTAGCTCGGGAAGACCGACGATGATGCCGGGCATTCACCAAGTGGCTCTGCATCTGCGTGAGCTTGGCCACCGACACCGTTAAGCATGATGCAAGAACAAACGACATGGGATTACCATCCGACACAAGGTACACATCAAACATCATTGGCACGATGCAGGGACTGATGTGTCTTCAACAGAGACACGTCAGTGGCATTATGTACAATTATGTCGGCTTGGGAAGCGAGGACGGAAAACTGGGCATCCGAGAGGCCCAAGCTTACATGGGAGAGATGGCCGCTGTATGCGGTAATCTTGTCACTCTTTGTTTCTACATGTCGCGGCCTTCCTTATGCGTTGGGTCGGATTGCTATGCAATGCACATTTTCCACTCTTGGTTCTTGGACGAGTCGTGAGAGCAGATGGATACTGGGTTGCAAAAATAACCAAGGCAGTTGCGTTTCAGTAATGCCGTTTTCAAGGTCAACGACACCGCTCATGGAGTTTTTCAGAAGAGTAGCCATGTTACCCAGAGTGCTCCCGTGAAAGAGCTGAGGCATGGATATGGTGATGCCAAATTGGACTTGGGGCAACAATTCGAGCTTGATCACCAGAATCGAGCTGTTCCCAACCTGGAAAAAGTCTACACTAGGCTTCCACGTTGCGGGCAACATTCCAAACATATGGGTAGAGAGCATCTCGCGCCAAAGATGGCTTTAGATTGCTCCATGGAACTCAAGCTGCGCACAGATTCATTCACAGCCTTCAAATTCGCCATGTCGTGTATAGGCAGTCGGTTCAAAGCAATACTATCTGTCTTGCCGTTTGCTGCAGCGAGTATTTGCTCTACTGGTACAATGAGACCGGGCATCATAGCTTGTCCAAGGGGAATGCTATTTCGGTGCCAGTTTGCAAAGTCGACCTTGTCCCCGGTGAAAGCAAGACCAAAAACAACAAAGATAATCAGCATGTCAGATAGTTGGCCAGGTCTCAAAGAAGCGGCGACATTGACAATTCTGCCGCTCGAGACAATGACAATTGCATTCGAGATGTCGTTGAGCTCTACACGGATGCCGTGAATTGTCCCTGGCCATCTTTCTCTAGTCGCCCTATTCCTTAGAGCGTTCCGTCAGGCAAGTGCCTACCTACCCTTGTCGCCCGATCTGTAGACTCTGATCTAGTGTGGCACTGAAGCGGCCTTTGGTGAAGTTGCGCTTATTCTCGAGTTTAAGATTCAGAGTAGTAGTGCTTCCAAATATCTGGTTCAGGTGACTGCCACGCGTGAAGACGACGCCCTTTAACACACCGGTAAATCCGCCGGTGTAAAGCATCACAGCAGGCTCACTGCTCGTAGTATCGCTGCTTTTGATGTCGTCTTGGGAGGACTCGGCTGTCACTGTCTCACTCAGACAAGCAATCCTGCAGGTATTAATGTTCAGTATTGACGTAAAACCAATGCCTGAAATGACCTCCTGTGCCAGGGTCCTCGTTGCATTGTGGTATAGCAGGACTTGCGGCCGACTCTCCTTACCCGCCGCACGAAGCCGGTGGTGATTGCGCGTATCTAAAGGAACCCAGACGAAACCCGATCGCAGGATAGCGTATATACAACATATAGCGTCTGCGACAGGATCGAGAAGCATGGCAACATGTGATCCATGAGTGAGCGAGGCTGCGGATGCGTACAGCTGGTATGATATTTGCATCGTCCTAGCCATCATCGGCTCATAAGACATCAAGACTTCTTGTTGGCCATCTCTGATAGCCAGGTGACTTAGACCAGCCAATTATTGCCTTGCTGTTTTCCTTTTCCAGGCTGACATACATTTGTTTTGAACTTTATACTTGGATGGCGAGACAAACTCGAGTACAAGCAAGCTTTGTGACACAGCTTAGCCTCGCGAAATTCTACAATATCAGGCTACCAGGGGCCCAACACTTTTCATTGACACAAAACCGCCTCGCCAAGCACGGGGTTGTCGTGAGAACACTTGAGAGGATTTAGTTGGGCGGATAGGACAAGGTCTTCCCCCCTCCTATGCTGCAGTGAGCGCAGCAATTATGAGCACCTGCGGATTTATTTCGAGGGACACGAGCTATTTGCCGGAAATGAAATTGCGGGGAGGGTGAGCATGTGGTGTCGCCCGATTTGGCCACAAGTAAGCAAGTAGTAGGGGTCGAGGACGCATAATGCATGCTGTCATGCTGTATGTCAGTCCCCGTTGGGAGAAGACTTGGGGGCGAGACACTGGGATATGTTTTGCTTACTCCTGCCCACAAGGCGGGCAATAGATGCCTCGGTTAGTGAGAGACTCTTGCTTGTCTCGTGTCAGACGACTATTACCGGCATCCGGCCTGCGGATATAAAACATGGAAACGTTACACCAGTCGTAGGGTAATAAAGGAATCAATATTTCCCGTAGCAGGCATTGTACTGGCGAGACAGGCACTAAGCTTTAATTTCCCTCTTTGCATAGACTCCTATTTGCCGATTTTTGGGGCCAAATCTACACCAAATAATGCCATATTGGTGTCATGTTTCCGCCAGTGGTGCCGAGGTTAAACATCAAAGAACGAATGCGAACCTTGGCTGGGATTTGGAAGTAAGGGATTACATAGACTATGCCTCACGGCATATACATGCTTGATAGAAATATCCTATCATTATGCAGTTTTCTCACGATAAAGCTCACACAAGCCGTATTATGATGCAAGCCCTGCCGCACGTACATCAGACCTGACTTGGCCAAGGACTAAGACGGCAACATATACGGAGTACACGACTAGATATCTTGAACCTGCCGAGGGAGCAATCCGATGCAGGTCTCAGGTTGCCGTCAGCAATCCCGCCCGTAGAATATATACGCCACATCCGCTCGTGATACGATATAACTACTACCGGCAACAAGAATCCGCCAATAATCTTCACATTCCACAATTTGCCCTGCAGCCAAGTCAAAGGGGTTGCCTCTATACTCGGCACAGCCATTAGGCCGAAATGAGCGACCAGTGTCCCCAAACACGGCGCGAGGACTCCCTTTTGAGCCATGTTTACATTGACATACGCGGCATACATACAAGCAAGTGGTTGTCCGGCTCTCTCGGACAGCTGGTGCAACCCACCCCGGATCCCCATGCCTGCCGAGCGTCAGCAAACGGTGAGACATTGAAACGGCGGGCCTGTCAGCGGCCACGTAGCTCCGACAAACGCTCGTAATCCTTCCCAAATCGCGGGGAAGACCCTGGAGTTGTCCAAAGTGACGAGAGCCAGCTGAGGTCCCGGCTGCGTTGAAGCATGCACGGGACTCGAGTCCCATTTGTCACCGTCCACCGGCTGAGCGTGGCTAGCTGAGAAGAGGCCAGGGAAACGCCCGAGAATGCTTGTCGGCTGTTATAATGCATGGACGCGTCGTTGGACATGTCGTTGTTTGCTCTGCTCTCAGCTCGCCCATTTCCGGGCCAGCTACCATTTACAGCCTACCCATGTCTCGGTAAGTAGAATATTGGGCGTAATGCAAATCTCGTTGGCTATACGGCTCAGCAGAGGCGTCGAGGGTCAAGGTTCAGAATCAGCAGCCGCAGCGGTAGAGTACCATGTCTGGATATGATTGGCTTCGAGTTCAAGCGCAACGGCCATCATTCTGAAAAGGGCACCGCCTGGAATAATATCGATTCCTGATGCGTCACGTATTTCTGTGTTAAGAGGATAAACCAGGGATATAAAAGACATGCCAGCCTTTCGATTTCCACACTTGAACGGATCCTTATATCCCCCAAAGCGTTCTAGGAACTCACCCTTGCCCTTGTGCTTCGTTTAACAATACTCCATATTCTCACTGATAGGATCATCTCACCATGAGGTATCTGCAGCTTGGTCTGGCATTTGCCGGATTCCAATGCCTGCTCGTTGCGGCCGTCGAGGTCGTTCAGGTCGGCCCCAATGCCAATATTGACCACGGCAAAATCAAATACACGAGGCCGGGGTCAGACTTTGAGGAGAGCTTTGGCTGCGCCGAGGGCAGCGGCAAGGGCCTCACGTTTAGCCGCGACAAGCAGTATGTTGCTTGCTGTGCTCCTGGCCAGCATCTGGGGGGCAGCCAGTCCACGCAGTTCCAATGCTGTGGCGAGGGACACGACGTTGCTGGCTCGGATGCCCATGGCTATCACTGCTGCCCGACGGGGATGAGTTATGACGGCAAGATGTGTCACGAGGGCCAGGGTCAAGGAGGGAATCACGACCATTCCCACGACGGCCATGACCAACCACAGGCGATACTAACTAGAGGCGGAGGCGGCGGCGGCGGCGGCGGAGGAGGAGGAGGAGCCGGTGATAAGAGCGGCAGCAGTGGCGGAGGAGGAGGAGGAGGAGGAGGCGGAGGTAATAACGGCGGCGGTGGAGGGGGAGGCGGCGGTCATAACGGTGGTGGTGGCGGAGGAGGAGGTCATAACGGCGGAGGCGGTGGAGGAGGAGGAGGTCATAACGGCGGCGGCGGAGGAGGAGGAGGAGGAGGTGACGGAGATGAAGGAAACGGGAATGGCAAAAACCCTCACAACGGAACCCAAGGCTGGTGTCAGAGCCCAGAAACCTGCAGCTCAGGAGTCGACACAGGTATGCCACAGCCAAACTCATCTCCATCAGCAGTATCCAGCCATCCATCAAGTCAGTCCCTTTGACTAACACCCCCACAGGAAAATGCTACCTCTTCAAGATGGAAAACGGGCAGTACCTCGGCTACGACAGCCGGCCCGGCGTCAAGGCCTACACGGCCGGGCAGGACAGCGCGACGCACCACATGGGCAAGTTCCGGTTCTGCAAGGACCAGAACTGCACCAGGGGCTGCGCCGTCAACCCGGGCGAGGGCTTCGCCATCCTCGACATCCACGGGGCCTCCAACACGGGCGCCGAGGCCAACAACTTCCTCGACGCCAAGCCCAACGGGGGGCACATTGGCAAGACGCCCGACTACAAGACGGCCGGGCGCTTCACCATCACCAAGTGGACGTGCGGCAAGTACTGCCTCGGGGGCGCGGGCAACCAGGGCGTTGGGCCGACGTGTCCGAGCCTGGAGCCGGCGCTGACGTTTAACACGCTCGATGCGCAGTCGTGTCTGCCCTTGACGCTGGTCGAGGTGCCGTGCGATGTGCGGGATCGGAAGAATAACTGTCGCTGGGATAAGACGCCGGGGAGCTGTGGTCCGGGAGACAGCAGCCACTGTCATTGTAACAAGTAGTGAATCGTGGTCGATCTGGTCGACAGGGTCCTGTCCTGGCGCGGATATACGTGCCTACATGGTACTCGTGGTGTGGCCGTCTCCCACGTTGACTTCTTTCATGGCTCGCTGTCTTTTGTCACTCACGCAGTCTTCTCTTCATGATGTTGCGTATGGATAGCTAGCTATCGTTTGGAATGAATTTATTTGTCTATGCCTTTGTTTTGAGTCTTCTATAACATCTGATTCTAGCCTTCATTATATTGGCATCTCGGCCGTCCGGTGTCCCTTTATAGCATATTGATGCTTCCAGGTTGCCTTGGCCGTGAGCAATCTCACATTCGACTGGGGTGGATACAAAGCTGCTGCTGGGCTTGGTGAGCGAATGTATTCTTGACGTACATCTGTCTTGTTATATACTTGTGCTGCGAGGTTCAACTTTGGTACAGTCCGTCTTCGCTTGCATCAAACCGCGTCCAGCCACTTGCATGTTGCGCAACACAAGTGCCACAAGTGCCGGCATAGACACAGCATGGACACAACAGCCAATGTTGAAGAAATGCAGCGAACCGCAGCGCGTCACCATGCATAATGCGTACATGTAGGAAGCCATATCGGCCCAACGCGGGGTTCCATCAATGTTTGCAGATTGCCGGCGACAACGCCTTGTACTCGACCAGACTCTCGACTGTCGGCCAGCAATCAGCCACGAGTCGGCCATGACCGCGTCTTCTCCCGTCGTCAACGTCGATCCCGACGGCGAAGTCATCATCGTCATCCCGAGCCCAGCAGCGCCCTCCCGGCTCAGCCTAACCCATCAAGATGCCGCGGGAAAAGCCACGTCCACCATCGCGACCGAAGACGACGTCGCGACCGAAGACGCAAGCACTCTCGACGCCTACTCTCATCCAATCCACCAAGGTACGTCCCATCCGCAACCCGCACAACTCATCCAGACGGCCGGCTCACCTACCCACCGGAATACAGCCTCCGAGCAAGACGGCAAGCCGTCCACGCTGCGCCTGAGGGTGTCCAAAAAGCACCTCGCCATGGCATCAACGCGCGCCAGGACAATGTACCAAATGGACTGCAAGGAATCGACGCACGACGCCGACGGCTTCCTCCACTGGGAGTTTGCGCCCCTCTTCGACCCGGCGGCCTTCGAGACCGTCATGCGCATCATCCACGGACAGACGAACAAGGTGCCGCGCGCCGTGACGCTCGACGCGCTCGCCGAGGTGGCCGCCATCACCGACGACCTCGCGTGCCACGACGCCGTGCACTTCGTCGCCGACGCATGGCTGGAGCGGCTGCAGCGCGCCCACCCGACAGAGATATGCCCGGACCTGTACAAATGGATCCTCGTCGCGTCCGTCTTCAGCCAGCCCGACTGCTTCCGCTCCACGACGCGCGTGGCCATTATGCAGTGCACGGGGTCGCTCTCCCCGGGGGCCACGCCTGTCCATCCCGCAATCATCGGTCTGGCGGCTCCTCCTCACAGCAAATGGTAGATTCCGACTAACACGTACTAGATGCCATCGAGTCACGCAGGAGAGATCTCCTGGGCGAGCTGGTAGCCGAAGCAGGGCTGGTCGTGCAGCGGCTGAGCCAGGGCGGCGGCGCATGTACATTCGACTGTCGGTCGATGATGCTCGGCGCGCTGATGCAGGAGATGCGCCGCGCGGGGCTGCACTCGCCTTGTTCGGGGCCGGGTGCGCCGCTGCCGCTGCCGAGCATCTCCCTCAGCACGGCGCTGCACCGCATGCGCAGCTTCCAGTCGCCGGCTGTCTACTCGCCGCAGGCGGAGGTTGACGAGGGCAGAGACTGGTGCGAGGGGTACGAGGCGGATTCGGTAAGGGCGCCGGAGCGAGTGCGTTCCAGTGAGGGGTATGGATCAAGTCACTCCATGTCGCGACATCAGTATAAAAAGCATCGCAGGGTTGTCTCGGCGCCCCGCGGGAGGGAACAGGACGAGGGCTACGATGGTTCGGCGACCGTGTTTAAGCACGAGTGTTGTTTGCGGAGGCTGCTCGAGCCGCTTATTCATGCCATGGAGGCGAAAATCACGGGGCTGGACGTGAATGACTTTTCTAGCGTGTGTCAGACGAGAAGAGCTGTGTAGCTGTTTAGCGGCCTGTTTTGCTGTTTATCATATCGTGGCTAGATTGTGTTGCTAACCATCCCGTATTTCTGGGGCTTGCTTATTTCGGGAAATTCTATCTTGTCTTGAGACGTTGAGATGAGCTACCGTACATCTTTGCAACACAGTAGCTTACGCGTCGTCATATGCCCAATGAATGTCAATATCCTATTGCGTCGAATAATGATGCCGAATACTACCAAAGCCAGGGACATGGCACAACCTCGTCAACATTCAACATTCAAGTTTCAAGAAGATCGTTAAATAGGGTAGGCGAGGATGATGCGCCACTCACCGCCTAATTCTGCCTGACAAATATGCGGCCCCGCTATTTCTTTCGTCTTCACTCTCAACTCTCAACTTGCCTTGCACCAAAGCAAAAATCCACCAAGTCGACGCAGACATCACAAACCGATCCAACAGTCCAATACAGCCCGCACCGCCGACATGCCTCGCGAAGAATACCAAGTCCCTTCCGCCGGCGCCACCGCTGTCCGCGGCAACACCCGCGACGACCACGCCTCCCGCTCCGTCATGACCTATCTCTGCGGCGACTGCGGGTCGAGCGTCTCTCTGGGCAAGGATGCGCTGGTTGCCTGCCCTCACTGCGCGGGCAGAGTGCTCTACAAGGAGAGGACCAAGAGGTTTGTCTGCGCGCTCTAATTCTTACTTGCTTGCGTATTTTGATACACATACTGACAGATTCACAGAATGGTGCAGTTTGAAGCGCGATAAGGGGCCGACCACGGCCGATGAGAGGAGGATGGGAGTCGTGATTTATGGTGTTTGGAGTTATGGGGAACATGGGCACCACGAGTGCACGAGACAAAAAAAGACAAGACAGTGGTATCAAATCTCTTGAGACAAATTCTAGCCATACCCAAACTCCGTGACCCATGTTTTTGTTGTAAACCATTCGTAGCCTCGGGCGAGCCCAAAACTACCGTTGCTTATGGAGATACTTTGCAAAACTGGCATCCGCCAAGATTGAATTCTCGCCATCGCCCATCGCGGCCTGATAGCGCTCCTGCAGGCCCTGTTTGGCCGCGTCTTCGTCCGAGTCCTCGTCGTCATCGTCGCTCGCCACCTCGACATCCGAGTCGTTTCCCGCGCCGCTCCCGCTCTGCTGCCCAGCGGCCGCTTGCCCGGGCGGCGCAACAGACATGTCGGACATCATCTTGTCCAGCTCCTTGTCGCGCGACTTCTTCTTCTGCTTCTCCCGCTCGTGGCGCCGCCTCTCCAGCTCCGGCAGGTAGTCGCGCAGAAACTCGTGCTTCTTCTCCTCCACGGCCTCGAAGAAGTCGTCCACGCCGGTGCCCACTCTGGAACTCACGCCCACCATGCTCAGGTGCGAGTAAAACTCTTCCAGCATCAAGCTCATCGAGTTGAGCAGGCTGCCCATGTATCCGCTGCCTCCGTGCCCGCCGCCCTCCACGCCGCCCAGCGCATCCGACTCTTCGTCCTGGCGGAGCGCTTCCTGGAACGCCTCGAAATCCGTCATCCACTCCTTTGCAAAGGACGCGTCCTTGACGTCTGTCTTGTTGAAGACTAGAATCATGGGGAGTTTCGTCTTGTACAGGATCGAACAGGCGTATAGCATGTTGGACATGAATGTGGATGTCGACGCTGTTCTCGGCGTGTCGATGACGTAGGCGATGACTGTTGGAAACGAGGACGCTAGAGACTCTAGCAGAATGGTTCCCGATGCAGACCACACAAAGGCTTCGATTTGCCCGGGGGTGTCGACAATGATTCTATCGATGGGTTTGCGGTCGGGATTTTCGGCATCAGGCTTCGCCCTCTTCTCTAATAGGTTCACGATCTGGTCAACTTTGGTGGCGAACAAGTTGAGAGATGTGAGAATGCCTCCGTTGGGACCAAGGTTGTACTGCTTCATGACTTCTTCGTAGTTGACCGAGTCGCGGATGTCAATGTTTGGGTCGAAGGGGACATTCAGCACGGCCGGGTCGAGGTTGATGACATAGGGAGGCTGGTTCTTGCCGTGAAGGTGCGCATTGATGCGCTGCATAAAAGTCGTTTTGCCAGAGCCTGCGACATGATGTTAGGGCGAGCTACTCGATCAACTACCCCTGTGGGCAGGGCAGGGCAGGGCGAGGCTTTGATAATGTACCTGCCATGCCGACGCACACGATGGCGACGGGAGGCGATGCATCGTCTGAGGATGCCATGGCGGAGCTGGCTCTGATATGATTGCGGCAGGAGGGCAGATTCGCTGGTTCCAGGTGGGACGGTTCTAACGAACACTACTGATGGAGGTTTGGAAGACGTTGAATGGTTTGGGGCTGATGCTCGATGCTCGACGCTCGACGCTCCAACTTGGAAATTTATTTTGACGTCGTTGGAGCTGTCGGCCTGCCCCGCACCCGCCGAGCACCAAACAAACCTCGCCACTAAAACCGACCGCCAAAACTACACCCAAGTCAATAGGATCCAAGTGAGAGATGCAGGCTCCATGTCTGCAAAGTTTATACCCCAATTTCTGTCTCCATTGACTCAATACGTCTCATATCTACACCTCTTACATCTGAATTATACGCGCATATAACGATACGTATCCATGTACAGAAGAGTCATGGAAGCTTGTATTGAATCCGTCCACCACCTCCAATCGACGCCTCTATGCACAACAAGCTAGAGTGACCCCGGAGCTACAGGTGCCTGCAAAAGAAAAGAAAAACATTACATTACCCCCATCTTTTCATCCTTTGATTGCTGTTCCCCTTTCCATCGTCCGCCCGTTGGCGTGTCTAACCATCAGTTCCGCTGCTGCGAAACGTAGCACATAATGCCGCGTAGTGGTGCGTCAAGTCTAGCACCGTCTGGGGCAGACTGGTCGCCTGAATGATGCTTCTGACCTTGACTGCACCCTCATCCTCAATCAGAGTCCGAATAGTGTGCAGCAGTTCAGGGCTGAACTCGCTGTACCATCGGTACTGCCACGTTACCAACCTGATGACTGCTGCTACAGTATCCCTTGTGTTCTTGGTCTTTTGAAAAACCCTCAGCACACCAGCAAGGGACTTGGGGCTGAATCGCAGCGAGAGACACGCTCGATAGGCCTCGACAGCTTCGTCAAAATGTTGCAGACGTTCGGCAAGGGCCCCGAGGATTTCCCACTCTTCTGCCGACTTCTTATACTGCATTTGCTGCGCCCGGTATTGAGCCATTTGTGTCCGCCAGATGGTGTACACACGCAGGTCTTCATACAGAACCATAAATAGGCTGTCCAGCCATCTTTCACAGAGACGCTTGGTGTTAAGCTTTGATAGGTGCTCTTCATCCGGAGTGCTCTACGCCGAGATGTTACCAAAAGTTGGTCATGTTGGGGAACGCATGGCATAATAGTACAACTTACGTGGTCGGAATCACCCTTTACTTCTTTTGGATCAATGGCGTGAGGCGGCTTCTCGACGCTGTTGGTCTCGCCGTTGGTCGCCAACTCTTTGGCAGGTTCCCTCTCACTCGACTTTTCGTCATCTTCTTCCTCCGTTTCACCTTCACCATTCGTTATAGGATCGGGAGTGCCTCGGAGGCCATCTATGCTGGCGTTTCGCTTCGAGGGGCCAGAGTGTGATGCTTCTTGTTTCTCCGTTCGATACTCATCCTCCATGACAAACACATTGCTGCGAATCTTGAGCAACTGATCCCAGCCAATCTTGGCCGTCATTTCTGTTAGAATGTTATATGCCTGCTTGAAAGTGCCACGGTAACTCGCAGCGCGAAGCCCCAGCAAACTGGCGTCGACTTGTTCTGAAAATCTGGATTCCGGTTCGCTGTCGATCTCATCGAGTCGCGTCTCGGGGAGCGTTGGCAGATGGACATCTCTCGGTTCGGGCATGATAGGGGTATCCTTGTCCTGATAAGTAAACATTGGGCATGAGTTTAACGTGGTAAGCGCGTTCTCCCAGTCCTCCATAGCAACATAGACCTGTGCCAGCCGTGCCCATGTGCCAAATTCGCTTGGAGCGGCAACGGTACTGCGATCTGCACAGCCGAGTGCCATCTTTAATCTCTCTTCTCTTGCTTCCGGCGTTTCGGCTGTCTGTGCCTTCTTGAGCAAAAATTCCGCTTGTGTGTCGAGCATGACATAATCCATGGGTGTCTCCTGTAAGGACTGATACAAGTTCTTGACGCCGGAAACCTCCTCGTGACCCATGAACATGACTTTTGACAACAGTGATGACACCTCGATGCTCTGCGTGCGAAGCTTTTCGAACAGGTTGATGCCCGATGCGTATCGGCCGGTTGTTTCAAGATATTTGAGAAGTCCCGTGGTGAGGTGGTTAGAAACATTTGTGGGAACTTGGACGACAGAATCAGATCCCAGCTGCCAGCCTCTGAAGAAAAGTTGTTCTGCCGCATTGAGAAAGCGTTGCTCTGTCTCGGTGTTGGTCACGGGGTTGAATCTCCTTACGCCCATAATCTTTCGAATCGTGTCACCACTGCCGTCATCCGCGTAGGAGTATGCTCGCAAGACGCTGCAGAGATATGTCTCCAGCCACAGCTCGTCTGACGCCTTTCGCTTCTCTCCTCGCTCGTCGACGCAATAGCTCTCGACGGTACCGGGAATGGACACGTGCACGCGCATGTCCAGTCGGGAAAACGCATTGTAGCAGCTACAAGAATACACACAGGTAAGTTACTACGCCATCACACAACTCATAATGACCTTAACGCACCAGTATACGCCCTCTACAATCTTTGAAGTGGCATTGGGGCCGTTGTCCTTGTACGTGAGCGTGTTGATGTAGGCTGCAAGACTGGCGGACGAGGACGCATCGACACCGGTGACATGATGGTAAATACCAGTCTAGACATGTTAGATATTAACCACAAGAAACCTCATGAGCTGCATACCTGCTTTCCTGTATTGCGCACACCTTGCTTCAGGAGATGTACCAGGTCAGGCGGCCCGAGCTCTCGCAAGGCAAGAAGGGATTCGGTTCTGGCATCAATCGACT